GCCTAGTAGACCAACTGTTAGAGACAGACGTATCATTTTTATGGAATTATATGATAATCATATTCAGATTTATATAAGCATTTTACAAGTATTGCAATCATTGAGTAGAGATAATCATGGTATTTTCATCAGCTTGGTACTTTTTGAAACATGACTGTGTCGTGTAAACAATCTGCAATTTTTCAAGGCATGACAACTTGCCTCTGTTTAATTTTCAAACCAAGGCCATTTTGCTAAGTATTGGGCCCACAACAGCTTTTCAACTGGGACAAAAGAGGGACCTCCTTCTGGCGGGGCACTGCCTGGAGAAGGCTGTGGGTCTGGCCTCGTGCAGGTGTCATCAAGCAGATGCCCGGGGGCAGTTTCAAGCATCGTTGAAAAATTGCAGTTTGTCTGTGCATATGTTTGGACTCTTTCCACGTTGTCCTGTTTACAAGTTAACCTAAGTTGGGGTGTTTGTCACGGGTCTTCTTGTTTTTGTATTTAAATAAATAAAGCAGAAAACTGTCTCGCTACAGTTTTGCTGCAGATAGTTATATCCTCATGTGTAATGTGCATGCCTACTGGCAAGCACCTTAGTAAATTATCAACTCACCGCTGTGAACCTGCCAACTTGCTATAACAACTCTGCTTTAAAAAAAGTGTTTGTGATCAGGTTTTCTCTTTGTCATCGTATGTGCATGCAGTATGATCAGTTGAACAATAACCATCAATAAAGTTTCACAAGATTTGAAAACAAAGTTTCTGTAGCATTTATATCTAAGGATGAAAAATAAATTATCTTTAAAATTGAGACAGAGAGAGGAAGAGACTGTATTAATCAATGAAAAATGGGGCAGTAACATATATTTATACTGGTGAGCGAATGAACTGAAATTTATTAAAAGTTCAATCCTCACATTTATTATATAAGCTATATGAAAAAGCCTTCTATTTAAGAAACAAAAAAGAATTTAAACACCACAATAGAAGCAACTTGAAAAAAATGTTTACCAAATGTTAGACTTCCAATTCAAAGTGTAGATGATAAATCTTTTTTGGAGTTGCACACACAAAATGTCTAATGTGGGGAATTACAGTATTTATTTGCAATTTTAATTTTCATGAGATGGCTTTACAACTCCCACTTTCCAAATGATTATATGGCATTTCAGTCTATTAAAATAATCTTGAAAGGTTGAGGGTGCAGCCCATATTAGGAAATATTTTGTTTATAAAGCTCCTAAAGTACTCCTAGTAGTAATTTTAAAATGTATGTCTGAAATAGTTATGTAAAAAAGCATTTGAAATTTTTTTACAATATATATTGGGAATGTTTTCACTTATATAAATAAGTACTGATAATATGACTTATGAAAAAAAATATTACTACCATATGTGGAATATAGTAACTTCTAACAGATTTAAAAAAACACCCTACAAACCCAGAAAATGTGTATATCTGTCTTTAGAAATTAGTGTTTATATCACAACCGTGATTTGTGAATAAAGAAAAATGGTTTGTAATATCAAAATAAAAGCTTAGTCTGAAAAGGTAAAAATACACTGGTGTTCAAAGTCATTTTGCTTTTCTTTTCTGCTGTGTTGGTCGAAGAGCTGCCCGCAGTTGCACCACCCAGTCGGTACATAACACACTCACACACACCTCTGCTACAGACATGCTTCACAGCTTTTTTTCTGGCTGGAGAGGCGGTGTTTGGAGCCCGAGGAGGTCAGTGCCTGCTCCTGCCCGGCCCTCCTGCCCATGGGCACGTGTGTGTGGGAGGGGGACAGCAGCCTCACCAGTGGGCCCCAGCTTGGCTGCTGCTGTTTTGCAGTCAGAGGCCGGAGCGGTGAGACTCAGCATGGGACTGGGGTGAAGGTTTGCTTCCTGTTTCATCTAGTATCATTTTTCAGGTAACACCATATGGTACGTGAGGAAGAATTGGGGTTTGTTCATAGGAAGAAAACAAAGACATCTTCCAAACTGACTGCATTTAAACAGGACATTTCATTTAAGATGATCACAAAAATACCACTGAATGGTATCTAACCTCTCAGATGAAATGTGACTGCAGCTGCTCAGCCGAGCACTGCTCAGGGAGCACTGGCACGGGAGGGCTGGTTACCAGTAAGCGTGTGCCCACGGCTCCCAGCTGGGCCCTGTACCGCTCCTCACCAGTGCGGGCTGGGCATTAGCCTTCTGTTCAGCTGTCTATTTCATGAACAGCTTCTCTGTCAGTGCACCTGCCAGGACAGGGGAGGAAGGAAGGTTCCTTCTTGTCATTCCCAGGTATGTCATCCAAACCACAGGAAAGACAACTACATGCTTCTAAGTCTAGACTTACCCATCAGTCCAACAGGTCACAATGAGGCTGGTGAGTTTAATGTGCCATCAATCATGTTATGTGTGTGCCAGCAGAATTATGGGACACTTCTACCTGGGTTCCTGTTATTGTAATCGAGCAGAGGAAGAGAAGCTGTAAAGATAAGGGATTAAATATTGCATGTTTTGCAGTTTAGAAGCAAGCTTTACTCTAAAATTATGCTTGGATTCTTCTGGGAAGGTAAAGAGAGGAAACCCTGATGTGTGCCAGGAATGGTGGGGAGGTATTAGGTTATGCCCAAGTATACTCTCCTCAGCACCATGCATGAGGGATACATTGACAGTGTTTCCTTCAGTGACTGGGTGAAATGACAAAGGTAGTAATGCTGAGTAAGATTTGGCTTTAAAAAATGTGAGAAGCATGTGAATAAACATGAGTGGGGGACATACACAGAACCTGAGACACCATGAAATTTTCACGTGGTTGAATTAATCTACATGTTGTCTGGTATCATTATTTATGATTTAATGCAACAGTACTTCCTTTCTTGGCCAAGTAGCCAATACATGCTAAATTAATAAAATCTTTGTATTTATTAAATGATTGGACAGAGATTAAGCAAAGCATCATTTTTAATCAAAAGGAAAAAAAAAAGAAAAGTCAGTAAGCTTTTTAGGGTATTTTCCCCAAATATTTAAAATTCTAATACAGCTTTAATTGTAGCGTATTGTACAGCAAAGATTAAATTGAATCTTTTTAGGACATCTTAGAATTCTCCCTGTATACCATGTCCTGTATGACTCTATCCTTGATAATTTTTAAGGGCATCCAGGTTGTTTATTAGCTTCAGATTTGGGTAAAATATTAAGCTCTTAAAATAGAGTTTAATTTTCTTTAACTTTCGGAGAACTTTGGTTTGAATTGCTGTTGTGCCATATTACTGTTTTTACCTCAAGTGAATTTTTTGCACATTTCAGATGTTCCTGTTGCCACATTTTTTCAGTTTCACAGTACAGTTGCATGAGTAAAAAGGCTGTGGAAAAGATTTCGTCCCTAAAGTAGAGCTGAAAAAAAAAAGAAGGAAAAAATAAAAGCAAAAAAAGCAACCTTATTTCAGTGGGAAGAGAAGATTTGAGTGGGAGGTGAGATCAGAAGGGAGACAATGATTTTCAGAGGTCTTTGAAGAATTCATGAAAGTGTCATCAAAAAGAGTTGTCTTGTCAGTATTATAAAAGTTTATCATAATGCTTCATTTATTCCTAAAGGGCGTATGCTTCACCTCTCACTACAACGTGAGCTTTATGCTACATTTTTCTAGGCTAGAACTCAAGTCCTTACACCATGTAATTTGATTGATACAGCAGTGGAGATATTTGGTTTTTGTCTGAAAGGGAAATTGTTCTCTGGCAGCTTTTATGCTTCTCCAGCACTCACCTAGTCCTCTGCATACCAATAATTGTCTTGCAGCACTTCATGAGGAACAGAATGGCCACAGACTAGGGTCAGAAAAGATCTAGTTAGTGCATGCCACTGTATCATCAACCTGAATCTTTTCTTTTAATGAGATAAGATTGAGATTCGCATGGGGAGGAAAAATATTGAAAGTACTTCTATATCCAAGAGCTGGTCCTTATTTTCTTAGAAAAGAAAGATTTTTATTTCATCCTGGTGACTAGATGAACATTTCGTCACTCACTTTAGTTGGCTAGGATGCAACTCTAGCTATGCAACAAAGCAATGGACCATGCGGATTACCCACTCATGAAGAGCAGATACGTTGGATTATATTCAACCTGGAAACATCAGTGTCATTTTAGGTGTCCAGTCAGGCAGAATTCAGGGCCAGGAGCTCTTGTACAGCTGTAGTTTAGCTCTCTATAGTAGGTACTGTCAAGCTTTTCAGATTCCTGTCTAATGTCCTACGAGGATGCTCGAGGTAGGTGATCTTGGTTTATGTGGATATCAGTACCCAGGTAGGTAGGGATACTAAGAATGAGTTGTGGGAGGAAGGGGAGGTGGAGGTGATTGTCATGATCCCTGAAGCCATGTGCAAAGCACTCACAAATATATGCGGGAGATAGTATTATAATCTTCTCTTGGCTCAACTTAATAGAGGAATGATTTTCCTGTATGTAGCTGCCCTGTGTATATTGTGTCAAGTTGTTCTCAGTTCTTCTTTTAAAGACCCTCCATTTTACCTAAATAATTAGTCATTGAGAAACACTTCTTTGATAGTGTTGGCTGGGCCTCTGCCCTGGATTCCAGTCCTTGTTCCACAACAGTCAGAGGGCAATCACGTTGCCATGACCCCTTTGCTTGCTTCACAGGGATTGGGTGACAGTGACATGGCCTTTCACCTTCCCATGAGACAGGTTGGCTTGCTGTGGGCTCCTGATTCCAAACGAGATCACAGCTGAAAATCCAAACTGGAAAAAAATCTCACTGTGTTTAATGCACTGCACAGCACTCCAGTCTGCTGCTTAGCACTGCTTGTGACTTAGTTTAGTTTGTTTTCTGTTGGCTTTGATTTATCCACACATCGCCTGGGCAGCCGGTGTGCCCAACCAATTTAATGATTTCACTGTTTAGCAAAAGGCCTGTAAGTCAGGAGTTCAGTACACAGGAAACTTGTTAAATAAAACATAAGTGAATGCAGAAATAATCATTTAGTGGACATTATGAAAGGACAGTAATCCAAACAGTTCAGTCCAATAGATGATGTATAACATCTAAACAAATATGACAACTAATTAAGATTAGATTCTGCATTTTGGATGCCAGGCCTTACAAAAATGAACAGTTAGGTTATGTTGGGGGAAAAAAGCTGTATTTTGCAAATGTCAGGCAGACAGCTCAGTAAGCAGAAAAGCTCAGTTATCCAATTAAAATAAATGTGCAGTGTTCTCAATATAAAGAGCTAAAGCATCCTTATGTTGAGGAGTTAAGATCCTGAAATATAAGTGGAGCAAAAAGTGCTCTCTATAAAGATTAATGTAATCTATCAAGATTAACATTTTGCATGCTGGCAAAGGCATATAGTAATGTGTTTCAGTTCCTGAAATTGGAAACATTAGACTAAGATCAGTACCAATTTAAACCCCAGGTAACCCCAAACACTGAATTGAATTCATTATTTACAACCACGATAGGCTAATAAACTTGCCTTAATGGCTTCTATGGGAAATAGATACCTACGGTAGGTGCTGTCCTATTTCCCATAATCCTCTCTGATATATCATCTGAAATGTAGTAACAAGTTGCATAAATGTAATTTAGGGAAAAGTCTTCCACTAAAAGTAATTCCTGATTTATTCAGGAGTTTGATTCCTGGCCTAAGAAAGATTAAGGATGTTTTTGATCGTGGCTGTGCACATGGGTGTCACGAGAGAGGCCATAGTTTCAAGGCCATCAGTGGGGGACACAGATTAAC